GAAGAGTCAAACGGCGACTAAAAATGTACTTGCATACATCTTCTCACGGGTCAGTGGAAGCATCATATCGAGCCGAATATGAAAAGAGCATTATTGGTATTATAAAAGATAACCTCGCGGATTACAAATGTGTTCTTCCAGAATACCCCAGCCAGGAGAACCAACGCTAGCGTCGTAGAAAAGAAATAGACAGCCACAAGTACCCTAACAAGAGGATTACCAGATCCTCATCTGGGTTACGATGAATGGGTATCGTAGCCAGTCAAAGCATTGTGCTCTGCACTAGCTTGCTGTCCTCCTCTTTGGCTTTACGTCAAGCATACTATGCTGCTCCCACTCGTGCTTGCGGGTAGCGTCTGCTCGTTTGAATTGCTTCTTACAGACACGGCATGTCAGTCCGAGAACCGAAGCCATCACACTGTGGAAGGCACGAATATGTCGTCTCAAGTTTCCGCTGCGGTATCTAAATGCTTGGTGAGCGCCAACATAGAAATGATGAAGTCTGGTAGCGTCACGTACTTGCCATGGAAGAGTGTGCTACATTGACTGCAGGAAAGACTTTCGTCATCTTCTTCGGCATCCAAACCAGAGCCCCCATGGTCCTCATAGTGTTGACGATCATCAAGCTTTGCAAAGGTGTACGATGCATCTACTTTCCTTGCCGAATAGGCGACAGCATTGAAATTGTTCGTCTCCTGTCCGTATCCATCGTGGTGCTGCCACCCGCGGGACTCATCAAAGTCGTAAACACCAAGTGGGATTCTTGTCATGCCATGCGATGGCACGCAAGAGTTATCTACAGGGCTACGTGCTGCGAGTAATGTGTTGTCGCGAGCGTTATAGGGTTCGGCTGCATTGGGGTATGACGAGTTGTAGTGTGGATGGCTATCACGTCGAGACTGTTGATACCCAACCGGAGGTATTTGAGCAAAGAAGAGAGAAAGTTCTGCATGATTAATGTTCGCGTGCGAGGCCTGTCCATGCTGAAAAGCATAGTTCAGGCTCGGCATTGGCATGTTGAACTCATCTTGATGATCTTGGGGAGGTGAGTAGACATCAGGATATACCAGAGCACCTCTGTGGAGCTCCACACTAGGCCCAAGCTGTGTACCGGGATCGTTGTAGGCATCAGGAGTTCTGGGAGGTGAGATAGGTAACGGCCTTTGAAGCTGCTGATAAATCGTCGAACCCGATACTGAACCAGGGTACTGCACAGTATCTGAACCCCAGAGCGGCCTCGATGTCTCCGTGCGACTCAGTCCTTGTAGTGCATTATGCTCTGTAGCCCTGTGGTGCTCATGGTATATATGTTCTACTGGCACTTGGCTAGCATGGCGAGCCAAGTCAGGGGTTTGATCTATGGGGCTCTCTAGTTCCAAAAGTCTGGATACCGCAGCAAGTTCCGAAATATCATGATCGCTTGGAAGCTCGTGGACGTTGGAGGAATGACAGTCTTGGTTGTACGGCATGTAAGCTGGTGGGGGGTCGTCGTTGACAACTGAACGGCTTCGAGGATACATTCGACGAATCTTTATCAAGAACCGGCAGAACCTTAAGAGACGGCTTCGGTGTCGTACGTTTTGGTTCCTATTGAGGACGGGAAGGTTGTCCTCGAGAGGATCTTTTGGATATGGCAGGGACGCAGGATTTGTCGAAGGAGTGCACTCGTTGCCACTTGAGAGCGACGCTGAGTCAGAAGCGAATGGATGGACAGTAGTCCCTGATGTCTGTTCACCAACGTCGTGGTTTGGGGAAGAGATGCTGCACAGCGGTGAGTAAAATAAATTTGGGAGGCAACCTCTAATGAAACAAGATAGCTCACGCACGTAATCCTGAGGCGATTTCTCGTTTCGAAATGAATGAGCATCTTCAGAAACGCGGGGAGTGGCTCCAAATATGTCGCAGAAGGCATTTGCAGCGGTGTAGGACCTTATTTCAACCAACTTTGTTCAAGGAAAGGCGGGATCACCAGCACACTGCAACCTGTATGTTCCCTCGAGGATAGTCGTACGATATGTCTCCGTGGAGCACATCTATGAAGACAGGGAACGCTGCTAGCGATGCGACATAGTCCTTAACACGGAGCGCCGATGCGCCATTGTCGTGACAAAAAACAAAAAGTAGGCAAAAAGGCGAAAGGGCGCTGGAGGACTGGACACCATCCCATGACAGTACGCATACGCGTACGACAGCTTCGTCTCGACAAGCAAATTACCAACCACTCAAAAAGCTTATCCGAATAGGGCCGAAGAGCTGAAGTACGATGGGCAGCCTGTTCGTTGTGATGGTTGCCCTTGGCTACTATCTTGGCGTTGCTAGCGAAGGACACCTGCGGGTCACGGTATCAGACGGCGAGATTGAGAAAGTAAGGAATATGGTCGGAGCCCTTACACATGTGCCGGGGTCAACTCCACTTGTGCGAAGGAATCCGATCGATATCTGCAGTACCAAGATGGCCCAGATGTGTTTTGTCCGCGAGTCGCCGAAAGAAGATGTTGCTCGTTATGGGAGGCCTCCAGGACCATTCTCCAAAGTGAAGCGATCTGCTTTGCATCGGCGGCGGCGGCGGCGGCAGCAACGGATGCTCGGATGTTCCGTCGGATGAAGTGATACAGTAGCATTCGTGGGGGGTTTGGGAGGAACACCCACATTGCAGAGCAATTTGTCGTGGAGGGCGTGGGCTGGTGTGGTCCCGTCTCGAAGCCTGACCTCCACCACGAATGCAGCTCACCAAGCGCGGTCGACAATTGAGCTCGAAAAAGATTTTGACAATGCGAAAACTTGTCAAATGTAATCGGAGGCTTTGCATCAATTATTATATCTAAAAAGAAAACAGCACAGCCGAAAGGTATGTAGGTCACAACTACACAGCCTTAAAAACGGCCCCCCAAAATAACCCGAAGGTGCAAAACGATAGGCATGGCTCAAATATCGGTAGGCTCAGATACGCCGGTTTCGCTCCAAGTCTGCCTTGAGATGGGGGCCGACTCAGCGCACGGCTGTGCATTCATGGCGGGGTGGGGCCGAAGGATTCATTTGAGTCTACTCTAACAGTTCCAGGTGCTAAGAGTATCAGATGTCGCAACAACTGGGTAAAACTGGGAAAGAGTGCTCTCAGGGCCATCAAGCGAAGTTATTTCCTTGTGGCAGCTACAAGACAACTTCCAGGATGACTACGATATTGTGTGCATCTCTTTGGGAAGGTAGGAAACCTTGCGGCAGACAATCCACGGACAATGTTCAGGCATCGTCAAGCATGGCGACTGCATGGGCCTAGAATGCGTCCGATACAACCATCGCTCCAAGCTGCCTTTCATTTACCCTTGTCCTCCAGGGCAAGATCCCTTGCCTTTCTTGCAGCACGTCAGGACGTCAGGATGATTTTACCCCACACCCAACCGCTAGCGCCCTAGCGTTATCGGCAATCATATGCGTGCCCTTTTAGGCGGCCTCTTCATTTCGGTTATGCCCGAACCCTGTCTCCGAGTGCATCGCCAAATTAGCGACTTTTCGACCATACGAAATTGGAGCACACGCTCGCGATATATGCTGCTTTGGAGAAGACGTTCAATAGCAGGGAAGCATGTGGTGAATTTTAGGTTAGTAGCTAACCCTGTTCCACCAACACACGGACCAAGGCGGCTCATCGGTCGGCACTAATCCGGACCCGATGACCGATATTGCGTCATCGCCGATCGGCCAGCCGAGGCCATCAAGATCAACTTACCAGATCTCCATATACATATCTCGCTCTAGCGATAGGCTCATACTCCATCGATGGCGGCTCAAGAGACCTCGGCAGCAATTTTGCGATACGCTGATTGGAGGCGAGTGCGAGACTTCAGCTTACCCTGGGTCCTATGCTCATACTACGGACGAGGCCTCGGCAAAGGCCAACGCAAACGTTCAGAACAGACTCAACGTCTAGCAGGACGTACATCATGTGCGCTCGGTGAGCCTTCATGGGCCTAACACGATTCAGTGGCGAGGCAGACTCACCGCCGACTGTCCGCCTTATTAATAGAGGGCACGACTTCGTCTTTGGCTGATCTTAGCTCTGGTTGGTCCTCCTTCCCTGCTGATCGGTGAGAGGATGTCGAGATTCAGCCTCTTATCCAGAAAAGCGTTGTCCACTCACGCTCAGAACATCGGATCGGATGTATACAATCTGTTTGGACCCACTACTATCTACCACGGGCAGTAGAATGATTTCTGCCTCCTCCATCTATGAACGCGCGGCCGATGCAACGTTCCGAAGCCGATTAGAGGGACTTGAGGTACAAGGCTTGCTTTAGCTGTTGATTCCTTCAGGGCAATCGACTGGATATGGGTGTGCCAGCAAATCAACCGATCAATCTCTCAACAGGCGGAAGCTCTTAAAATGGGCAACATGTTTCAGGCGAATGACCTGAGATTCCGGCGACCAAGTCCTCCTCGCCGATTATGATCCTTCTGGCACCGGTGAGCAAAAGTAATTCCGGTGAGTGTTGTGGCAGGTCAGGGGCGCGCATGTTTGTCGTATTGCCAAGTTGCGACGCTTCCGCTCACGTTGCACACATCGCGACCCCTAACCCGAGCTTTTACAGCAAAGAGCACGAGGCAGGTTGACTTTAGCACCAAAGTTCGCTATTTCACCAGCTTACATAAAAAAGCAGTTCATTCAAGCATCAAATTAATCCATGAAAATATATCACAAAAGACAAAACTTCATGAAAGCATGCTACCAGATGCGAGACAACAACCCAAGCGCCAATGCGGTGGCGAAAAAGAAAACACCGACCCCACACCGCAAGGCTGAGGGCGAGTAGATCAGACCCCGGTTGATTGTGGGGGTAAAAGGAAGAAGGCGCCTGGACCTGCTGACTATGCGAACCCAAAGAAAAGGAACTCGTACGAGAAGCATGCCAAGCGCTGAGATCACAGCCTGTCTTTCCGGTCACGACCAGAAGAGATATAAGTCGATCACTCTTGCTAGACAATCGAAACTGCGATTCTACAACTTAGTAGGACGCATCACCTCGTACATTGTACCAGTTTTCGCTATAGTTGTCGTCGAGTTCTTCGTCTCGGTCGCACTGCCTGTAGTCCTCGTACAATTCGGAGTCGTCGTAGACTTGTCCATCGACTCGGACGTACCCGATAGCATTGTAGGGGTCGGTACGGTCATAGCCTGGTGATAGGTGGGAGATTTGCTGCGCTTGGGGCGGGTATGTTGCATACTGGACTTGGTGTGCTTGGCCCGCCTGAGGTGCGTTGGGCCCGCTCCTGCCGAAGGAGTGAGGCACCGCGCCTGCTCCAGAGCGAGACGCGTCGACTACCCCATGTAGGGGTAAGAATCCCGCGTTTAAAGTGGGATTATTCATCGCACTCGCCAAATGTGTAAGGTCATTACGCATCGGGCGAGCCACTGGCGCATAATGCGGATCATACTGGGGCTCGTAGTGGCGATCTCTCGAAGAAGAGGAAGATTGTGCGCTTCCTGCGCCAGACTGCGGTTTTGTTAGCCATCACCACCCTTGAGAGCAGGGGAATCTTCTCACCTTATTGTCGGCACGCTTTGAGCTTTTGCGGTCTTTGCGGTCACCTCTACGATCATCTTTGCGGCCTCCTCCACGATGAGCAGAGCCGTTTGAGTGGTCTTCAGATTGACTCTGGCTATGGGCCATGTTGCCTTGGAGTGTGTAGTTTGGGTAGAGGTAAGGATGAAACGTGAAACAGACGACTTGTCAGATATATCACCCGTTGACGACAGTTGCTAAAGCAGCGAACGCGAACTAGCGACTAAACAGCGAATAAGAGTGAAGAACGCGGTTGATCCAATCAAAGTGTCAGCACTATCAAGGTAGGTATGCAGATGGTGCTATTCACTGACTGTTGGAACACGTAGTGCAGCTACACCAACGTGTTGTGGGGGCGTAGAGAGTTAAATAGAAGACAGGATATTGAGGGACCGAGTAAGAGTCCATTCAAGATTAAGTAAGTTTGAGAGAACCTTGTCGCTGTACGTACGAAGCAAAACGTACAACGCAGCGGTCCTTATTAACATATTCCTGATAATAGTCCCTCACAACGCACGCGCACACAGACACACAAGCAGGCGCACTCGGGTCCCTTAGGGAGCTGTTTGAATCATCCGAATCATTAGCGACATTGCATACAATCTAGAGTATATGCTTTCTGGGGCGCATAAAGCAACCGCCGTGCAGGTGCCCCCTGGCAGATGCCGGACAATCCGGTAGGGCCGTTATGTAGGCTGAATATGTGCTTTTTTTCAGCAGCGTCGAAAGATTTCCCCATGGACCAGTCAGGCAAGGGACTAACGGGATACGGTGAGTTGTACGTAGGAAGGGCAAGATTACACGACCCGAGGTAAAGCCGCCCACGGCGATTGATAACTCTGATTGGACAGAGTAGACAGCTACGCCGGGAGGGGGGCCAGTGTCATGCTTGCTCGCATGTATCGGGGAAAACACCATCGTCAAAACTACTCGTAACGGATCGGCCAGGTGCGGCGAGATGCTGGAAACTTTGTTTTGAAACGGTGCCCTTTGTTGATTCACGAGGCTGGTACAGAAGGAGGATGGTATATGCATATACACATGGACACACTTGCACTGGCCACTTTCCTATTGTGGAAAATGATCTGCCCCCTCGACCCAACTCAGCTATCATCATGTGCATACGTCTACGTTTCATGTCGATTACATGCGCTGTCGCCAGTGTCCTTGTGTACAAGAAAAAGATGATCGCCGTCTAGGATTGTCAGGAAGATATTGAGCGAGTGCACCACTCAGCGCGTTTTCCGGCTCCAAGGACGGAAAAAGGGCCGGCTGATAGTCTGATAGGACAGTAATGAAGGCGTGCCCTTCTTCCAAGAGGGACCCATGATGCAACCAGCTGAAAATCCCATACGGTCATATGTCGGTACCTTGACTCATAGTCGCACAACAGCAAAAGGGCACCGCGACCTTTGGCCTCAAACTCGTAAAAGTAAAAGCGGACTTGGCAGTCGCCTCAGGACGCCGTCGGGGTCGACGGTCTGGGAGGGTAGAAAGTATGGGACGGGCACTGGTTACCGATCTCCCGCCCGTAAACTTGCATGTCTAGTCGATGCGCTAGAATGTTCCGTGCTAGGCCCAACCTTGCAGCCCGGTAACTCTTTGCAGGGGGCCAGGCGGGTGTAGTGTTGGTGTGTGCGCTATATGACATTCCAGCTGAATTCGATATTACATAGTACGTACGTATGTGTATACAAAGCTTAACGCACGGCCCGCACTACCACCCTAGCCCGTACCTGCCTGAGCAAATGCAAAGACAACAAAAAAGGGTGGGCGGAAAAAAACCGGGGAAAAGCAAAAAAAACCCAGAGAGAACAAGGCAACAGTCAGCCCAGGGCAACGCACAGAGATGGGCGGAGCGTACAGCTTGCAAGGTATATAACAAAAAGGCGGGGTAATCCCTGTCGCTCTATCGCCCCGAACCTGCGTCAGCTGTCGGCCCTCCGACCACACACTACCAACCAAACCCACAACCGCCAACCGCCAACCAGCGACCACCCGCAAAAAAACCGCCCAGAAAAAACACACTCCGTACATGCGCACGTCCGCAAGGCCCGCATGTCCCACTTACCCTCTCCCCCTTCCATCGCGATCTCTCAAACAGCCCCAAGCCAAAATGACTCGCCTCGACACCCTCCCCCCCGAACTCCTCTTCCACATCCTCACCTACACGGACCCACCGTTCTGCCTCACGCTGCGCACATACCCGCTCAACGCGCTCGCCGCCACAAACCGCCAGCTGAATGCCGTAGTCGAGGAGTACGCGCGGAACCTGCTGAAACGGCATGCGGGCATCGAGATACCGAGGAATGCGCGGGTGGCTAGTTGTCGGCGCATGTGGGTGGGTGAGATATGCTGGTTTTGCAAGAGGAAGAGTAGGAGGAAGGCGTGTTTTGGGCGGGGGATGACGTGCTGTTTGGGGTGTGATCGGAGGGAGTTTGACAAGATGGTACGTCATATTCACTTTCTTCCCAATGCTCTTTCTTTCTTTCTTTCTTTGAAAATGGGGGTTTGGGGGATTTGCAACAGGGTTTGCGATGCAAAAGGGTGCGATTTTGGAGATGAGAGCGGGGTGGGGGTAAAGTTACTAGACGCTTTGAAGAACCTTTATCTTTTGGTTTTCGCAAACTAACGAGTACATGGGGGGCACAACAACAGACTATGACGCAAGCGACACAACAAACTCATCTTTCCAAATTCGATCTTTTTACACCGTCGCCTTTACATCCGAATCTTCCTCCGCTGGCGATAGGATCGTATCCCGTCATGGGCGATGTTGCCACGATGATTTCGACACCTGATGTCCTTGCGCGCAGTGCGCATATTCGGTCGATGCTTGGGGAAAAGGCACATGACGAGACATTTATGCGCAGGCGAGCTGCAGCACATGTGCGCATCATAAAGCATATGAATATAGACTATCATCAGGGTAAGGGGTGGCTGGCTTACAGGGAGATGTCCAAGAAGGGGCCCAAGAGTATGCAGACAGAGGAGGGCAGAAGAAAGTACATCGAGGAAGGATTGAAGAAGGAGTGGGAGGCGCTTGGGGTCGAGCCCTGTCAACATGTCCTAGCGAGGGTAAATGGGCAGTTGATGAGGTGGGTGAAGTACGCTGTTCCACCTGAGGCAAATGGTCGGGGTGAATCGCGAGAGGCGCCGATTGAGATTGAGTCACTCAGTGAGACTGGATTACTCGACTTGTAGTTTTCTTCGTGGCCATTTTCTGCAATCTTTGCTGGCTAGAAACCCAAATCTAAGCGTAGACAATGGGTGAGTCAAGGTGTCATTGTTCACCAAGAGTAGTCACGTCGCTTGTGCGCAGCCGCTCCTCGTTGATCCCATCCAGACACAACTTCATTCGTGCTGTCAACTCGACCTCCTCTTCTTCGCCTGTCGCTGTCACCTCCCCCAAGCGCAGCACTGCTCGCTGACCCAACATTTTCAATGGATCCAAAAGCCTCTTCTTGTACTCCCAATCTACACCAACGGTCAAGTCAACCACTGCGATGGTAACCGTCTTGATGCTTTTTGCCTCTCTGAGCAGCATCTTGGTTATGTCCTCAAGCCAGCGAATTAGGAAATGGAGGTCTTTGCTATAATTCTCTTCCAAAGACGGTCCCCGCCTTTTCCAGTAGATTTTCAAGTGAAACTTCTTGACCCACCGGACAGCAGCGAGTGCAATGGGGCAAAGGCCGCTGATACGAGGAAAAGTAGAAGTTTGTGTAAGATAATGGAAGGTGACGGTATTGTAGAAGTGGGCGAGAATCTCGTCATGGAGATAGCGACACGTGGCCATGAGTGCTGTAGGAGGGGCTCTTCGATCAATGAAGCATATTGGGCCCCATCCGAAGGGGTAGCTTTTGGGTTCACGGCGACCTAGAATATCGTAGATTTCAAGACGCAGTTCCGAAGGGAGCTTAAGAAGCAGAGAGTGTTGTGCCGGTACCATGGGTACATTGGTGTGAGAAGGCGAGTTCATGATTTTTTTGAACAGAGCATAGTGGAGAATAGAAGACATGGTGTTGTCACTTGCAAGGTCAGGAAGCCAACCGCTTATTAGCTGCATACCCGGGCGTAGATCCTACGGATATAATGAGCAGTGTAGGATGACGTAAGAATCAGGGTCCAGGAAAATCAATCCTGTTTGGGACTGGCAGGCAGGGGAAACGTTGTCAGCAATGCGCCACATCCAAATGCTGATTGATGTCTGCTTCAGCCATTGTTAGGTTACAGATTGGGCATTCGATCAGAAGTTTCTTGTGCATGGCCAAGTCATGTTCTTGCACCGACCGCAAACGTTTGTGGCCTGTGTGGGGGGACGTGGAACGAGACGGTGAAGAAACAAGGTTCTCGACTACTGAATCTTTGGGTTTGCTGGCGTATGAAGGTGCAGCCCGAGGCGTGTCGTCGGGAAGATGGATCGGCTCGTCACTAGTACTACCTTTTGCTTGGGCCTGTTTTGCCGGTCCGGCTGTAATCCAATTGTCGAGCTTGTTCTTCTGGCGTCCAGCACGCTCCTTTGTGGTCATGGCCTGCAACTGTTTCTTTGTAGGTGCGGGTTCCTGGATCTTGGTGTAGGTGCCGCCGCACTCGGCCTGGTGTTTCACCCACCAGGGGTCACTCTTGCCAGGGGCGCGGTTCATGCTCCGCTTGACGAGGCCAAAATAGGGAGGCTGGTTCTGGCAAGGCCCATTGCATTTCCAGACGTGGGTGCGGTAGCTGTCGACTTCATCGTGAAACGAGTGGTAAACGGTAATCTGATAGTCGCCGTGGTTGTTGAGGGCGTCGGCTAGCAGCTGGAAACCGCGACCGTGGCCGGTCCCGTCGTCACCGCGCGAGTGAGTCCATGAGGTGGTAATGAAGAAGTAGGCGTGAATGGCCTCGTGCAGCAGCGTGTTGATGGTGTCTGAGCGGGGGCGGTACTGCAGCAGTGGGGAGCTCAGCTTGAGGCGGATGCGGGACCAGTGACCTGTTTTGGGATCCTTGGAGAGCTCGCAGATGCCAGCGCACTGTTGCGACGGTCAGCCAGCGGGCCAACGGCGCGGGCAGGCGGAGCGGTAGCCAGGGCCGGCTTCAGATGGGGAGGGTGAGACGGGTAGAAAACAGAA